TTAAAACAGCGTGCAGGGCCTATCTGATCACAGACTATTTGCATATCAACCAACGCTGCGCTGTCACTGATAGGCTGCTGTCACTGGCCTGCGCTGATCAATACAAGCAGCTCCTGTGAAAATAACCACGTACGTGCGGGGTCCAGCCTGCAATAAAATCGGGATATCTTTAAAAACTGGATAATTAAATTAAGTTGTTGTAAATTGCCTCTGGGACTGAGGGATGAACAAGTATATAGAATAATATTAGCGAGAGCAGGAATGAGTGAGGTATCGCACATCAGCACTGCTCTATTTATTAAACAGCTTCATGTGTGCAGCCTCACTTTGTTTTTCTATGAAGGCCTCTGGAAATCTGTCCCCATTTAGTCATTTCCCTCCTGTAACCCGGTGATATCTTAATCGCCAATCCCGTCATCAATGTCTGTCTGAGAGTGTAGCTATAAGAACGCACCTCTACACTGCAAAAATATAGACATGGGTGTCATGAATAACATTTAGTCTCACTTTCAATAAAAAGTAAGAGCTGTCAGTGGCTCACAGTGAGGTGGCTTCAAATGCATATGGTGCAGAACGACTTAAGCAGGTGATTAAATGAAGTCATTACAGTAAAATGATATTTTCTTCATTGTTAGAAGAAAATAAAAATAAAAAACTGCACTAGAACCAAGTGGAATAATCTCACCAGGGTCAGACTTTTAATTTGTAAAATAAACAAATAAAGTTATTTTGATAAAATCATGAATATGATTTTGAAGTGTGACATAAGATGGACATTTTTTTTGCAGTGTATGCTTTACATATTTGCAGCATTTGCATCACGAGTGAGCGCGACACCTGGCGGCAGTTATGATTTTTTAAAATTTATTTATTTATGATGAAGCCAACAATGAAGATCTATTTCACCTCCAGCCTGAGCTGCAGCAACAACCGTTCACCGCAGATACTGAAGGCAGGATTTCAACACTGCGCGTAAAAGCAAATATTCCTCATGCCTTTCCTCTTAACACTGTAAAAAACAAACAGATGAATATAATTTTCCGAGCATTTCCTCATGGAAAATAGTGCGTTACTTTTTCTTCCCAGCTACGCATCACAAAACGACAGTTTGATCTTATTTTAAAACATCGCGATAACTTAGTTGCTCCTCAGCCAAGTCATGATTGCTGGTAAAAAACCAAAGCAACGTGTCTACTCAGGTAAAGTCAAACTTAGGCCACAGTCATGAACAAACTGAGATTTAAAAAAAACAAGTCACAACCCAGCAACAGCTTATTATCTCTCCTCCACGCATCAAGTGCTGATGGCGTTACTGTAACGCGTTACCGCCCAGCACCGGTGCTGCTGGCCCGGGACACCGAGGCTCTTTTCATCTCGACTCCAGTGCACAAACATACAGCTTAATGCGACTAGTGTTTCCCCCTTTTATTGGGCTCACCATGGCTACCAAGTGCTGGCCTCAGAAATGCACTCCCCATCAATGAAGGAAAAGGAGTTAACCCGTGAGAAAAAAAAAAAAAAAAAAAACCCTTAAAGCAAAGTGCAGCGAAAACCGACCGACTCGTCCCCAGATTCTGGTTAATGTGTGATAGATCCTCAGTGATGTCGCAGAAAGTTGTGACAGACACTGAAATGCTGTGTTTTACTTCTTACGGATCATGCTGTCCGCTGTTAGGTAATTGCCTGTGACCACATCTCTTTTGCATCTGCACTTTTTTTTTTTTTTTTTTTTTTTTTTAGTGAAAAATCTGTCGTTTTTAGTTTAAGTTTTCTTCCTTCTTTCGCTCCCTGGAACAGCTCCAAAACAAAAGCAGGAAAAAATAAAGAGCAAGCCGGTCAACAGTCATTACAATCCATGCTTGTTTACAAGCAATCATAGGCTTTGTCTGTCTTGACGGGTGCAGTTTAGGAGCGAGCTGCGGTCGGCTGCCTGCTGCATATAAACTTTAAACAAACTTTGCAGCGGTGATATCGATTTATATTAAAGGATTTCATATTGCACTTGCCTACGCGATCCCTCTGGAGGATTCAACCGAGGGGTCTCTCTCCTCACTCTCTCTCTCTCTCTCTCTCTTTCTCTCTCTCTCTCTCACCCCCCTCCCCCTCCTCTCGCTCCCTCTCTCCCTGCTTAAAATGTGATTGATTGCACTTTTCTCCGGTGGACATTCACTACAAAACAGCACGGCTTATCCATCTGCCCGCTATTTATATAAAAAGAAAAAAGAAAAAAAAAAAAAGCTGGTGCGTAAAAGCAAACAGCAGCGCGCGTATTGATTTTTACGCATTTGGGGGGAAAAAATAGGTAAAGGGACACGCATTTGCAATTCGGTTTTAAAAATAAGTTAAAGAAGATGCGACTGCATACAGGCGCAGATGTAGGATGAAATATCAGTTAAAGCGAGGACCAGTCTATGAGGAAGCGTATTACAGCTGCAGTGGAGAAATGCGCGAGAAGGCGATAAACTCTAACATTCCTCAAGCGTAAAAAGAAACCCGCATGGATGACTGTTGACTTACCTTGTGTCCAAGAACAGGGAAATAGCTTCACATTGTTCATATGGCGTCTGTAAATGGTTATCTCCCTTTCCTACGACTCGGTGCTCCCTAAGATTTTCTTTCCTCTGCCTCAACTGAGCAGGAGCACTCCTCGGCTCCCGCTATTATTTTCACTAAAATATATGAAAATTTATGCAAATGAAAATCAGCACTAACTGTTCGTCTCTTGTTATACTTGGGGATGATTTTTTTTCCTCTCCCCCCTTTCTTTCTTTTTTTTTTTTGCATACAAAATAAATGAACTCCCCCAGCAGGGAACTTGGGGACCTTTTTATAATAAGCAAATAAATAATAAACACATCATATATCAGAGAGTGTTTTTTTTTATCGGCGCACGGTGATTTCGGGGAGCATTTCTGAAATGGCTTTTTTGAATCTCTCTTTATATGTTATATGTTTTTTTATTTTATTTTGAGGGGTTATCTTCTGTGTGTGGAGCCCTCTTCCCTGCTTATGTACCCTTGGTGTCACGTTTCTGCTGGCCGCCTGAGACGCCCTTTCAGAGCGTGCAGTGTGGATTGAACAGCAGTAATTTAGACAGAAATCCTCACTGTATATTAATGAATAGAGGGCCCCATGGCTCTGGCCCCTAGCCTGCCTATTCAATGTAAACAAATCCACGAGGCTCCCTCGGTTTTGAGCCCAGTCCAAATTAAATCTACTGGGATGAGAAGAAGAAGGGGGGCACTGGCATGGAGTACACAGCCTGTGCACAGCTCCACTGCCTTATATTTGCCCTTAAATCCCTTCTGCAATAAAATCTTTGCGTCAGCTTTGATTTGGAGAGCTTATGGGTTTAACGCATGACATGTAGCCGCAACCTATAAACAAAATACTGTTAATCCTGTCAAGAAGTCACCTGCCACAGCCCTTGTTTCGGCCAGGTGGGTCCAGCAGGCTGCAGACACCCTCAACTCCACCAATGGGTGCAGTGGGAGCTATATATCTGGCACTTGTTACCACCCATGGGTGCATCCATAGGCGCAGGGGTCCCACACACTAACAAAGGCCCCATTCATCTATGGGTTTATGTGGTCATCTTAAGGGATGGTGCACATTTAAGGGCGATATCTCTGGATTTTTTTCTTTCTTTCTTAAGCAGACGTTTCCAGCATCGCCACCCCGCACGCACGCACACACATCCCCCAAGGACTGCTCAATTTGCCCTTGTTTTGGCTGCCACTTTCTCTTTCACTGTGCTTCAGTGAGGTTGCCTGTGCGCGGCGTTTCCGCATGGAAGCATCCCCGCAACCTTTGTGCGTTAACTCCTGAGGAGCCGAGGCGCAGGGCTGCACTGGCTGCACTGGCTTCCCTGCACTCGAATCGTGACGTGCACTTGTCGTGCTCTCTCTTCTACATGTTTCGCATGTGCACATGCTGCTCTGAGGTGCATTAAAGTGACCTTGATTCAGGGCAGAGTCAGTGTGCAGAATGATGGTTTTATTGAATTAAAAATCATGGCTTTATACCTTTATAAACTTTAGTTTGTAAATTTAGACAAAACACTTTTGAAGTGCTAATGAGCAATTCAACACACTATATAACCATGTAGCTTCATATAACAAGATAAAACATGCAGCATCCAGTGAAGCTTTTTTCTTTCTTTTTTTTTATTCTAAGCCTTTCCTATATTTTTCATGAGTGGCCCAGAGGGAATTGAACCCTAACCGTGGCAGCACTGATGCTTTATTCTATTACGCAATCAGGTCAGGCTACCAGATTATTATAATTGTTGCCAATAGATCTTATAATGTCAATGTGCATGGTTTGAATAAACTTGCATTAATACTAGATATGTCTGTAACAAGACGAACAGAGGGTAAAACCGCTGTCTTTTTAATGACTAAGTGGAGTTTATCCATCTATCTGAGCTGACATCAACCTTTATGATGTGCATTTATATTAAAACTTTTACTTTCAAACAGGTGTAGTAATGCATGGACACAGAGGAAAGCGCATAGTGAAGCTTTTCTTCAAAAATGAAAGTATAGCATGGTGTCAGTTTGAGTCATGATGATCAGGAAGCAGAGGTCACAGTTTATCGACCTCTTTTATTTACCCCTTCACCCCTGTTTGTGTACTAGTATCTCAGTACTGTTTACTACCAAGTTGTCTTCCCCGTTTTGTTTGGACTGCAATTAAAAATCAGCCAATTGGAACAGCCGGAAGGAGGGCTCGTGCGCCCGGAGCAAGGCTGGCACGACCTGCCAATCACACCCCGGGTAACCAATCAACGGGGACGCACGGGGTAAACATCCGCGCGTCGTCGGGCTTGCAGGGGGGGGTGGGGGTGTTGGGGGCGGGACTACACGGCCTGTCAGGGAGAGAGAGAGCGAGAGAGAGATATAGAGAGAGAGAGGTGGAGAGAGAGAACAAGCGAATGAGAGGAGAGGCTTTGCAAGCAGCGCCGTACACTGTTATACTGGACTGTACTTCAACGGGAGTTTGCGGTTTGGCAGGTTTATATACATCAAAACAGAACAAAGAGAGAGGCTCTACAGTGCTATAAAAGAAGAGAGAGAAAAGAATAAAGCGAGGGAGAAATCTCTGCGACTGAATTACAAAAGAACTGAGGACACTCTGCTAATGTTTTTCACATCCAAAGGGGACATAAACTGGGACTTTGGACATTGTGGAGCATTTGCAAGGCTTTTTGTTTTTTGCGACCTCCAAAAGTTTGTTTGGGACAACTCCTTTTTCTTGTATATTTGAATTTTAATGTTCACAATTTCATCCCAGTGCAAAACTTTCTAAACGGACTGCACATGGTTTCAAAGGGCTTTTGAAAAACCTGGAATTTTATTCGTCCTTGTCCATGCAGAACTGTTTGAAGTAGAATGTTGTAAATACATGCGGATTTTATTCAGCTTTCTGCCTCCGTTTTTCAAGCTTTTTGGCGTTTTTTACGCACGTCGATGGTATTTGCCAAAAACCTACCCATACTTTTAAAGTTTGAATAATTCATGAGATACAATTTGCCCGCTCGAAAGAAGTGACTGTAAAAAGGGAGGGGGGTTATCCACAAACATATTCATAGGGGTTGACGGAATGGCCACCGCGGCTTCCAATCCTTATCTGCCCAGCAATAGCATCTTATCGTCCGGCTCCATCGTGCATTCTGACTCCGGAGGTGGTGGCATGCAGCCGGGCAGTGCTGCGGTTACCTCGGGGTCTGGGGGCTACAGGGGAGACCCCTCAGTCAAGATGGTACAGAGTGACTTTATGCAAGGCGCAATGGCAGCGAGCAACGGGGGACACATGCTGAGCCATGCCCATCAGTGGGTGACATCCCTCCCGCACGCCGCAGCTGCTGCAGCAGCAGCCGCGGTCGCTGCAGCCGAAGCCGGATCGCCCTGGTCGTCGAGTCCCGTCGGGATGACGGGCAGCCCGCAGCAGCAGGACGTGAAAAACTCCGGCAGAGACGATCTGCACACGGGCACTGCGCTGCACCACAGGCCCCCTCACTTAGCTCCCCACCAGACTCACGCCGGGGCTTGGGGTAGCACGACTGCGGCTCATATTAACTCCATATCCGGGGGCCAGCAGCAGCAGCAGTCGCTGATCTACTCCCAACCGGGGGGCTTCACTGTGAACGGGATGCTGAGTCCTGGGAGCCAGAGCCTGGTACACCCGGGCTTGGTGAGGGGGGACACCCCGGATCTGGACCACGGCAGCCACCACCACCACCATCACCACCAGCATCCGCATCACCAGCACCACGGCGGCGTCAACAGCCACGACCCGCACTCGGACGACGACACGCCGACCTCGGACGACCTGGAACAGTTCGCCAAGCAGTTCAAACAGCGGAGGATCAAACTGGGCTTTACGCAGGCGGACGTCGGCTTGGCTTTGGGCACCCTGTACGGGAACGTTTTCTCTCAGACAACCATTTGCAGATTCGAGGCTCTGCAGCTCAGCTTCAAAAACATGTGCAAGCTCAAGCCTTTGTTAAACAAGTGGCTTGAGGAGGCCGACTCATCCACCGGCAGCCCCACCAGCATCGACAAGATCGCGGCGCAGGGGAGGAAGCGAAAGAAGCGCACATCCATCGAAGTGAGCGTCAAGGGGGCTTTGGAGAGCCACTTCCTAAAATGCCCCAAACCCTCGGCCCAGGAGATCAGCACCCTGGCGGACAACTTGCAGCTGGAGAAAGAGGTGGTTAGAGTCTGGTTTTGCAATAGGAGACAGAAGGAAAAACGGATGACGCCCCCAGGAGTGGCACAGACGCCGGAGGATGTGTACTCTCAGGTCGGCAATGTGAGTGCAGAAACACCGCCCCCCTCCATGGACTGCAAAAGAATGTTCAGTGAAACATAGAACAGCACACAAGAATATTTTATATGAAATTAAACTGATTAAAAAACACACAGACTATCGCCAAGATAGCCAAATTTTTTGATACTGTGATTGTGAGGGAATATGAATAAGACTGCAAATGTGTTATCTATTTTTCACCAGAAAAAAAAAGAAAGAAAAAAAACAGCAACCTTTCCCTTTTTCCTCCCAATCCCCTCAGAAAACGCACCGTTAACCTTTTTCCAGGCCCTGAAATGTCTTAACCTAAAAGGTTCCTTCTGCTTTTTTCTTTCAGGGGCATTTTTTAGTAGATTACTTAAAAGATGCAAGTGAAGCGAGCGACCAGAGGGTGACAACTACAAGTTCATTCCACCAGGTAATTTTGGCGCATTAAAACACACCAAGAGGAAACCAAGTATTGTTTTTTATTATTTTTTCTTCCCCCCCTCCAAAAAAAATTTCTCCCCCTCATTATCCTGTGTTTGATTGAAGAAACAAAGGAGCAGGCATTTTGTATATTTAGAAATGGGACTGAACCGCCCCCCCCCCCTCTCCATGCCCAACAATAACAGAGGGGAAAAACTGCAACAATATGAAGAAGAGTGACATCCACGACGCTTCCATCATGATTTACAGCTTTTTAATTTTTTCTGAGGTGGATTGCATGGTTTCATTTACACACACGGAGGATTAGGGATTTTTTTTTTCTCCATGTTGAGGCCCTCATGAAAGAAAAGACAACCAGGACCAGGACTGTCCCAGCCTGATCTCAAAGATCACCTTCTTGGGGTTTTTTTTTTTTTTTTTAATTATTATTATTTAATGGACTTTGACACCGTGAGTGGATTTTTTCTCTTTTTTTCAACAAATAGAGCATAAGACATTTGAAAAGACTTCAGCTGCACTTATTTGAGAAAAAAAATTCTGAAAATCTGTTGCCAAGTGTGACTGAGTGGGTGCTGTGGATATACTATTAATGCTGCCCTTTCTAAGCAGTATTCTTTGGTAGGTTTTAATAAACAAAACTCTGTAAAGCCGGCAATATAGATCACTAGATCAGATACTGATCTGAGTTATTTACTTTATATTTTTCATCAGAATGACTTGTTTTAATATTTTATTCGGAATACATATGAATTATTCCAAACGGTAATTTATTTTCCCCCAGGAACTTGTGTAAGATGCTTTCCCTTTTCTTGTTTTATTTGAATTTTTTTTTCTTATATTTTTGGTTGTTGCCCTTATTTGTTTAATTTTTGTATTATCGTTTCTAAAGGAGCACAAATCATCATAAGCTGACATTGACCGTTGTTAGGTAATAAGGGTATATTTTGATGTGATAATTTGATTGTAATTTAATTTCAGTAGTGGTTCCGTACGAGCTGATTGAGACACAATAAATTTGTTAGAATGAAATGCAGTCATCTTGTGTTTTGACATTTATATTCTTATCATACACTGGGCTGTATTTTATTGTTTTATTTATATCTTTTGGAAGGGGAATTACCGTGTGTATTATTTCTGCATGCACAGCAGCAGAAGGCTAATGAAGAAAATGGTGGACTATTTTGAAGCTGCGAGCTAATAATACCCTCTATTAGAATAATGCACAGGCCCTTTGCAGAAAATGACAATATTCCACCTTTAAAACTAAAAAAGATGATTTTATTTATTTGCCAAATATAAAAAAAACTAAGCTTGGCGTATTAATATAGATTTAGCCGTTTTAAGAGCCCATAAGGTCCTAAGTTATTGCCTAAGCTTAAATAAACGTCCACAATCGTTTGTTATCATCATCCCATAACTGTACATTACCATTTAAATGGAAGATCGCGGCCAGTTTCAGGCCTGCACAATGGCTCGTCTGTTTGTTTACATCTGCTGCCTCTTCAGGCCTTGGGCAAAAAGCAGCAGCCCCAACCTCAGCCTGCAGGATGGACAACAGCCGAGGCTGGAGTCTGTGTTGTGGCGGGAAAAATAAATAAAGAACAGAGACATTTCTTAGAGAAAGAAAAAAAGAAAATCAAAAGGATGACAGACGCCGCCGTATTGTGGGTGTTAATGTACAGAGCGTCCTAATGTCCTGACTGTGTGTTATGTAATATTTACGTTGCAGATACTGCATCACATAATACTGATAAACACATTTAGTATAATTATTAGGCTGCTCCACGAGCGCCTGAGTCACGCGCTCGTCAACAAAACACCAACTCTAATCTGCAAAATAATTGATTTCCATTCATTGAAATGACAGAATTGAATGTTAAGCTGTCTGCTTTGGGCGCACGCGAGATTATGAATGAGTGCGAAACAAAAGTGTGTGCTGATGTTTCATGTGACTACAAACATGGCAGACCCACTGAGCTCGGCAGGTGTGTTCTCAGGTGTGTGAGCTGACATGTTGTAGTATCCGGGGCACTGGGTCACAGAGCTTATTGACTGTGTCTGTCCAAAGCTGAGCTCAGCCTCTAAACTGCTCTGCTCTGGGGATGAATCAGTGAAGAGCTGCTTGACACTTTCATATCAGGAACTGTTGTGTCAGGAGTGTTGACAGGCTTGGAGCGGGACAGGCCCAAGAAAGGATCATAAAATAATGTCCAACTGTTTGTAAAGGCACTGATGAGGCGCTCGAGCTATCATCTTATTTCCTACAATAATTCTAAATGATAAAAGCAGCACTTTGGCTGTGTTATATGTATATTTATACCCTATAGCCTATATATATATATATTTTTTTTTTTAACAACTGCACTATTTTTTCGTCACGGCTGCAAGAGGCAAATGTGTTCCTGGGTCTCAAACTTTTTCTTTTTTTTTTTCTTGAGTTGTCTTGCTCGCCTATTCAGCAAAACTCACAAAACGTGTCCTCTCGCTGCAGGATTTGAATTTCGCGGATGATTTCCCATACTAGTTGCTTAGCAACTGAATTCAATGATATAGAGAAGTAGGCATCATTTTTCTTTGTCTCCATTAGTAAAAGTGGCAGCACAGACACGCTGTGCATGCAGTCCTCAAAACTTTAGATTTCATTTATTTACGTTAATGGCGTTTTGCGAGGACGTTTTGAGATGTAAGGCTCCCTGAAATAAAATAGTCAAAGCTGGTCGGCTAAAATGCACTGCTCATTTAATTATATTTAAAGTTAAAATGTTGATGGAACAAGAAAGAGAATAATAAGCTCTTTTAAAATATATTTAGGCCTATCGTGTGCAGTGAGGTTGCTTTGGCCTCATGTTGTCTACCTATGCACTTGCTCATTATGCATGCACTTCCTGTGCTGTAAAATCCAAGTCACATGACGTGCTAAAATAAACCTGCCATGCTGCCCAACTCACAAGACCTTCACCACAGAGAGGAACACATGAGCTACCTGACTATGACAGATCCCATACAGCAGACCTGTGCGTTTACATTGCGCACGCATATGGATACAGCAAAAAAAAAATAAAAAAAATAAGACACACACACCTCTTAGAGCAGCCAGCAGCAGCTTGCATGGTTTGTGCAGAAATATCCCAATCTAGTGAGAGATTTTACCAAGGGCGACACAAAAAGAGTTTCAAATCTCATAATGGGTTTTGATCCGCCTATTCTCCAACAGCTTTGCCTTTTTCATGGGTCTTCAAAACCATGTTGGCAGCAGCATGGGTGTGCGTGTGTACGGCAGCGCTGCACAGGCCTGCCTCTGTGTGTGTGTGTGAGTGTGTGTGTGTCTGTGTGCACCGATACGTTCAGGCCCTAGGAGCACTTTACTTTCCCTGTTATTGATTTAGGACGCCAGTGGCCCAACAGGCTCGTCGCGCCCATTCGCACTAATTAAAGCTGCTCGTTGTCACACCACTGTGCCCTTTAAAACAAGACTTCAGCTGGAGAAGTGGAGGGACTCCGGATTTGTCCTATAAAACCCAACTTTTAATGTCTAATTATTATTAATATTTCATGTGGCTGTCAGCAGCACGCGCCATTCAATCAGTCACTGACACTCACATGAAGAGTAAATGTAATAAAAAATAATCTAATTACACAGATTTATATTTTATACAGCCGCCTGAGCAAATAATAATCTTTAGGCCCAAATTCAGTGTATTTCAATATTAAAGTATGGCTTTGATACGTGTTGTAGCCTGTAGCTTTGCAGATGCTGTTTATAGCTCTAGATATGATGTAACGTAATTAGAAGTACAAATTAACGCACTTTAGTTCACTTTTTAATTATATATACACATTAACGCGCTTTAATTATATTTATTATCTGTGTATACGGCTACTTGGAGGGTTAACGCACCTACTTCTGATCAGGTTTTATATAAAGTAGAATAAACACAGGCTACTTAGTTTTTATGTGCTGTTACTTGCTGTCGCGTTATGGTTACGCTGTGTGTCTTAAAAGAGTAAATCCACTGACATGTACAGTATAGCAGGTCGGTGTCAGGCTCATTCTGACCTGGTGAAAACGTGCATATACACAATGCCCCCCCACCCCACCCCACCCTCCCCTCCACTCATACTGTATTTACTCCACGTGTCGAGCACATGAATATGGATTATCCTGAGCTGCTCTCCGCAGGGAGCCGTACTCCTTCACGTCCACATGGATTTATCTGTGCTGCAGAAAAGACGCTCAGAAAATCTCCTTCTGTCTGCTTGTGACTGCTGACTTCTGATCATTATTATTTTTTTTACTGTTATTTAAAGTAAGTATAGTGGCTTATTTCTTCTATTCACCCCGCGTTTGTTTGGTTCTCACGGTGGTAAATATGGGTGCGATGCAAAAGTCTGTTCCACTTTTTTTGTTTTTGTTTTGAGATTATTTCTTCTCTTTTTACGTCATTATATTTTCTTTAGATGATTAACTGCAAATAAAAAGTTGGGTAATTCTCGTAATCTCTTTATTGCTTTAATTTATGATTTTTTTTTAAATTTAATTTTCTGTTCATGCATTATCTTGTTATTGTTGTCAACAGAGCCATTTGGCACATATTTGAGTTAATTTATATAAATAAATTAGCCAATCAGGAGTGTTTAATGTCTGTAACGACAACAGTCATTATTATTATTATTATTAATATTATTATTTATATACATTTACAGAAGAGTTTTTCTTTTTTGCTACATTAGAATATTAAAAAAAACCATAAAATGCAGGACAATATCTACACAAAAGCATGAGAATCATAATAGACCTACATGTAAATAAGAGCTTATCAAGTCTCTGTTCTGGCTGCTGCAGGAAAAGAAGAAGAAGAAGAAGAAGAAGAAGAGGAAGAGGAGGACGTTTTTAAAATATGACGTGACTCTCGGGGGTTTCCTCTCTATAAATTGTGAAGGTCATGGTTTTCTGAGCAGGCAGGATGGATAGGTAGAGGAGGGGTGAATGGAGTCTGAAGGCAGCTCAGCCATACAGAGGTAATGTGCTTCAGCATCTCATCTGCCTGTCTGCATTTCAAAAGCACATAAAGCCTCGTGCAGTCTCACGTTTTTTCTTTCTTTTTTATTTTTTACCCCCTTCTCCTCTTTCCAACTGCGGATTGAACGCCTTTAAAACAACAACATGAGTGATTCTGTCAGCTTTAATTAACAAGTCAGATACATTTATAACTGACAAACAGGACAATAATGATCTTTAGCGATTTTTGATGATTTTTTATACGGATTTTCAAAATAAAGTGAGATCAAACACTTAAACTTGCTGCTAAAAACAAATCCCAGCCTGAAAATAGGCCCAAAAAGACGGAAAATACATAATACTCCTATAGGCGTTTATAGTGTTTAATGTTCCAG